TCGTAACTACGGAAGCGAAAAACAAGGACAGAAAAGAGCGCTGTATTGTTGACAACATTGTCAAAGTAACAAATGTGTGGCCTGATGCCTGACTTGTCAAAATTTGGCACTACTCCTTTGGCACTTCTCCTTTGGAGCGAGGCTTCGTGTCTGCTGTACAGTCCTTACAACATTCTATGTCACTCTACTCGCTCATTCTGCGAATACATGGGCGATGAATGGTTGCCCCTATGCGAGTTGTTCAGTGGGCTGCCCGATGAGCTATAAGGATGCAGCGACATCTGCTCGGCGAAGGGGATTACTTGCATTGCTTCAACAATAATCAAGAGCCTACCACATGTGCAGAAAGAGGCAGCTTGCAAACATGCTAAAACAAGAAGAGGGTAGAGAAAGAAGACTTTTTATGGACATCCGACACATGCAAACATGAAATTCAAAGTCGAAGTGGCAGCCAGCTCCTCTGTCCTGCTTTGTAGTTCTAGGGATTTTATTGCATGATTAAAATACTAAATTATGTGTGACTGGGTAGCTGCTTGTGTAGGTTGGTACTGCATTCTTAAAGGTCCCCCCGCCCCCCTTTTTTTTTTGTGTGCAAGTTGTTTCAGGGAAAAGTGATAGGATAGATTGCACACATACTAATTGCTCAGATGGCAGTTATATATACAGTAGACTCACGATAACTGCAACTCTGATAATTCACATTTTTAGTTAATTCAAACAAAGTACAATTTTTTATTGGCCCTTTATTATTTCAATGTAGTTAATAATTCAAACTCCATCATTCTTTTAATGATGGAGTTAATTCAAACTCCATCATTCTTTTAATGAATACTTTTTGTAGTTCTATGCCAAGAAATAATTGCTGCTTTCCCACTACTGTTTAAAAATTTGAGTGCTTATATAATCGTAACAGTCTAATAATGAAAATGAAAAATAAGCACCTCAGGCCTTCAAGGACAAGGCTTTGCAAGTAAACAAATGTTTGAAACTAAGCACACGCATGGTAAACTGTGATGCTTCTCAAATGGTATAGAAAGCTTTGTGCTGAAGGCACATACCTATAGCAATGAGCAGTTGGTGATTCATGATTTCTTTAAAAGGTCTGATCAGCAGTATTTGGCCAATAAACTTGTGGACCTTACACCTCTGTTTTGAGTTAATTGCGTGGAATTAGGGCTTAAAATCACATCGAAAACCTTTAAATGTGATAAAATCAATGTCTAATCATAATGTGTGGTGTCACCTCACCGAGATTTATCTATCTGAGAACTTGTGATAATTCAAGGTTACTGATAATTCAAATAAAATTCAGAGGTCCGTTCAAGTTTGAAATAACGAGAGTTGACTGTTTACACAATTGGATGGGTGGGGAGTTGATGCAACAATGAAAACAGGAAAGCAACGGCGCATGTGCAAGAAAGCCTATTCACATATTGAAATCGCACTTCAACTTAAAAGATACTGGTATTCATTGTATAACAAGTTAATAGGCTGGGCACTTACACACTCCGTTCCTTCCTTGGGAATAATGAAAGCCTCGTATATTTCCCGTGCCCTCTTTTCCCAGTATCTTGCCATTACATGGCAATCTTGAAATATGGGGGTACATCCACACTTGGCACAATTTCTAGCCAAGTAGCTGTCCGAAAATCTGCGCTTGAGATTGCCCGTGCTTCCCAAGGCGGTCGGTCGTTCAGACAATGCCTCGTCTGGCCGATGTAGCATCGACCATGCAATGAAGGCTGTACACAACTCCTGTAATGCAGTCTATAAACTTATTGCACCCAATGCTTGAAGCACTTTTGGAATTCGCTCTTGCAAATAGACTTCAGCTTATTCCTTGCTGTACAGACAACCTTCACCCGTGTTTTTTTTTTTTTGACAATTCTTTTTAAGCGGTGCCGGTGCGAGACCTTGTCCACGTAGAATATGGCCAAAACATTGCTTTGGCTCGTTTGTCCCAGGTTGTATATTTCGCCCTTTCGCTGTGGTCCACTGGCTAAGGTACTCGGCTACTGACCCTCAGGTCGCGGGATCGAATCCCAGCTGCGGCGGCGGCATTTTTGATGGAGGCTAAAATGTTGTAGGTGCATGTTAAGGAATCTTAGGTGGTCGAAATTTCCGGAGCCCTCCACTACGGTTTCTCTCGTAATCATATGGCGGTATTGGGAAGTTGCACCCCACATATGAATCAAATTAGGTTGTATATTTTAAACTCGATTCCTGGTTCAAGTCGCTAAATAGTGAGTCAGCTATGCCCGAGAACGAATGGTCAGGAAAACCTGCTGCCTTAAGGCAATCATTTTGATTACCAAAGCTGCTCTCAACTTGGTGATAACAAGACCTTGACAGGGATGCCATCATGCATCCTTTTTCTATTCCCCGCTTCACGAGATAGAATTGTGCTGAACTAAAAGGAAGCAGGCCTTTCTGAGAGGGGGGAGCATGTGTATTTCCGGCACGCATGTTCTGACAGGAAAGTAAGCTCTAGGTCTAAAGATGTGAGCTGGTTGTTCTTGGGGAACTCTGTTGTCACCTGCAGATTAGTCATGTTAGCAGGAAAAAATTTTTAAAGTTCTATCGATGGTCTGTCGTGTGCACGTCCACAGGATAATGTTCGTATGTATCTGAACATTCCTTCTGCCACTGTAAAAGGGAACACCGCATGTAGCACGTGGATACCTCCTTTGTGTAATTTTTCAATAATGTTGGATGCAATTCTTGAAACACCCTGTATATTATTATTATATATGAAAATATACTTAAAAGTTTCCAATATGTTTATTTTAATTTTCAGGCCTACTTCCACATATCTTACCTGTGGCTTCAAAATAGGGTATACCATACTTAGACACCAACTATGGAACAAAGTTTTAATAACTTATAAACTTTTTAAAATTAAATTTCACTTTATTTGGTTAGTGTTTGATAGATGAGTCTATTCTGCAGTACTGCTGTCCAGGAGAAAATAGTTTGAGCTTCTTTTCTGGCACTTTAATGTTGTTGCAATTCCACAGAACTGAAATGCATCAAGTGTGCTTGTAAACACAAGCACTATATACTTAAAATCAAGAGGTTGTATTTTTGTCAATACCGTCTTTTTATGATATAATGATATAATTTTGAAGTTATCCTACCAATAGGAACACCTCTTTGCCATCTCGTCAATTATTGTGTGCGGGATCAGTTCTGTGTTTTAATGTAATACCTCATTGTTTTTTGAAGAAATGTAGTGTCCACTATTCTTAGACGACCTTTCACAGATGCTAGACAGATCCATGCAGTTTCCCAATACCAAGGCAATGTGAATGTTAATTTGAGAATGTGTGGTTATAGTTATAGTTCTTGCTTTACCTTAAGTTTGCACATGGTTAAAAAGTAGTTCGTACTGTGTCCTCTGAGAAGCTTGAGAGAACAAATTCATGAGCTCTGCTGGAACTGGTTGCACTGGTGTACCATATTCCAATAGGACTCATGGATGATGGTATATCTTAGTAGAATACAGTGAATCTTGTGGTTTCTTCCTTTGCTACTTGCCCTGCTGTGTAACAGCAAGGAGGTATTATTATTATTTTTTACTTGGGAGATGGGCTCAGGGGAATTAGATTTAGGTTAGGTTAAGTAATTTGTGCAAGTGACACTATTGTGACTAAGAAAATACGAGCTCAGGTTCTTCTTTCTTTTGGCCATGTTGTCCAGACGTGTTGTTTGCTTTATAGCCATACCCATGTTGCCTGTGATAGATACGACATAAATTTAGTGAAAGCTCTAAATTTATTTGTTAAAAAAACAAGGACCATTTTTTCCTGGTTGAAAAAACATTATTTTGGGCTTGTGAAATCGACAAACATGTTAAAGTATAGGAAACACCTCACTGGTGATATGCATGCAAGTATATTTTCTTCGTTTGTATTTGCTTTTAAAATGCCTATCATGTAGGAGCTTTAGCAGTGCCAAAATTTATTCCATGAAGTGGTGCAGCCACATTGTTTTGATGTTAATTGGTAATGTGTTAAGTGTGTGTTTGTAGCGTTAGAGTATATAATGAGATGGTTGTGCATAGACCATACTGTTATTCAGTTTATATATGAAGGTTTTTTTTTGTAGTATTGAAAACTCAATAATTCTAGACCCCCTTTTCTTTTGTGGCATTGTAGCTTGGGCGTGCAAGCTGGGTAATTCAGCCATATGTCATGTTTTAATGGGAGATTTGATGTTGCAGCCCCTCCGCGGTGGTCTAGTGGCTAAGGTACTCTGCTGCTGACCCGCAGGTCACGGAATCAAATCCCAGCTGCGGTGGCTGCATTTTTGATGGAGGTGAAAATGCTGTAGGCCAGTGTGCTCAGATTTGGGTGCACGTTAAAGAACACTAGGTGGTCAAAATTTCCAGAGTCCGCCACTACGGCGTCTGTCATAATTATATAGTGGTTTTGGGACGTTAAACCCTACATATCAATCAATCAATCGACACTTGATGTTGCAAAATCCTTGGTCTCTGGAACGAAAGTGTTGAAGTGTTCTCGTCTTCAAGGCTGCCTTAAAGAAGACAAGGCTGCTTGTCGAAAGTCTGGCTTCAGTAACGCCTTCTGTTCCGAAGATTTTTCATCGCTTCAAGTTTTCATCTTGCCCTGAACTTTGCCTTATTTGTATTTAGAAAATGTTGCCATTGGTTCCCTTCAAAAGTTCTCTTTAGTCTGCTGGCAATATTTTGTATGTATACAAAAAGCATTGGATTAATTACAATATCATGGTTGTGCCAAACTAATCAGGGCTGAAAATTGGGAAATTGGTAACCATCAATCTTCGTCAACACCTCCTGTGATGGGTACGAGCGGAAATTATGTGCTTTTATCCTGTATGTTTCCTTTAACGTACCTGTCATAACTAGAGCAGTTAAATTTTTAGAAATTAAGTATCATTAACAAGATAATAATTGATGTGCTTTTTGTATAAACTTGTAGTGTATGTTTCTAGATACATTCTTGTTTTTCTTATTTCAGTGAAAGTGTGCTCGTGGTAGAGGATGAGGAAACCAGAGAGTTTCGTGAAGCTTTCGTTGCACTCAGTGCCCACTTCATTGGCACAAGTGCAACTTCATGTAAGTAGAGGCTTCACTTCTTGAAAAACCAGCTTCAATTGTATTTGGAGATGTATGCTGATTAAATTTTCTCAATGTGCTGAGTACACTAGCAACTTGCGTGTGCACGATGTGCATGCACCTATGTGTATGTACAGAGCCGTCCACTTCTACCCTGAACACCGCTCCGTGCATCTGGCGCTCCGCGAAGCGCCTCTGCTGGGTGCTTCGGAAAGTAGTCCGCAAGGGTAGTGACAGCTGTAGGCGGGGCCTTTGCCACGTCGTCTGCTAAAGTGCGGTCGCTCGACTGAATTGCAACTGCTTTGTGGTGTAGCAAGCATCACTGTTGTTATGTGCGCACGCAAATTGAGAAGTTAGTGCGTTTCTCGAGAAGCGCAGACACAGATTTTTCGCAAGCAATCGTACAGGTAATGAACCGTGACCCATACATGAGCAAAGCTTTCAAGTCGCGCCGCCACTGCCACAACTAAGTTATTCAGTGTAACAGAAATAATATTTCTCAGCTCACACGACTGCTTTTGATCAGCGCAAAGTTGAACGCCGTGAAATTGGAGATGAATATATCATGTAAGGCCTGACATAACAGCTTGCAATGTTTGAAAATTCTGATTAGATACTAACCTGTCAACAAAAGATAGTGACTAGTTCATTAATCTTATAAAACTGATATAACATTTGTGTATTACCGATATTGTTGCTCTCATGTGCTATAAAATTTAACTCGCCGATATTCCACCCTTATTCACTGCTTACCAGCAGCCGTGTTTCTTCGTGTCATTCAGGCAAAAAAATTAAGAAACGCTCTTATCGAATTTTCTGTGGAACTCGTACGGGGCAATTAGTGCACCAAACAAGTACCAATAACAAATTTTTACGGCTGTGAGCAGTTGCAGAATAAAGCTTCATACTTTTTGTCTCTGGGCGAAACGAGGCCCGCATCGCTTTATCTTTCTTGGATCGCAACGTTAGCCCACTGCGGTAATTCTTTGTGACCCTTCAATTCGTAGCGCCATCAAACCTTACTTTTTTTATTTCCACGTGATAAAGGGACTGCATATCTTCAGTAGTACTTCATTCCAGTATTATCTCCTAATTGAAGGGCTATGCCGAAAGTGCCGGAAGACGAAAGACGACGGATCATAGGTTTATGCCTGTGAGAATATTCTCCATGTGCTATATCTGCGATGAGAAACCGTCCTCTTGCATTGGAGACGCCCCTCGGCAGCCTCGTTGCTGGGTGACTACAATGGACAAAGATCTGCAAATTGTGGCAGCCGTAGTAGAACAGCGGGAAAGTACAGTCCGAGAAGTACAGGCTGAGCACGAGCTCAACCACGTTTCGGCTACAACCGTGAAGCGCCGCCTCTACGAAGCAGGACTTGGAAGCTGAATGGCTCTCAGGAAGCCGCTCATATGCGATCTGAGAACAAGGCGAGGCGGCTCCAGTTTTTGAATATCACGCGCACTGGTCTGCATCTCACTGGAAACGCGTGGTATTTATGGACCAATGCACGTTCAGGATTTGGTAGGATCAGAGAACATGAGTTTGGCGCCCCTTGAACATGTTTTCTAAACTGTTCAATGTTTAGACAATGTTTTCTAAAACACTTAGTGCCTTATTTTTTTTGGTGCGCGTGATGAAAAGTATGTATATTAAGCACGTTTATATAGAAAATTCTTCCTAACTTTATTTCACTTCTTGAGGTCACCCGCGAAGGCGACTTTCAATATTGAAGTTGATGCACGTGTGACTCAGATTTTGGGAAGCACGTTTGAAAACCTATGTAGACGACCCGCAAACCATTTGGCCGGTGGCTATAGCATCTCGGGCCTAGTCTGCTAAAGCTTGCCGTCTCTATTTTTATGGAAACCTCATTTCGCCCTCTGAGTCTCTTTCATTATGCCCATGACACAAGAAATATGAGTAGCTATCATGAGTGTTTGGCCCTAGCGCCTATTGTCACCAAGGCAACCACACTTAAAAAAACCTATTATTGGCTTGGTCAGTACCTTGTTGCTCTACTGCTTTCCGCATTTAAATGTTGCACCATCATAAAGCCATCTTTGTCCGTTAATAAACTATACTTGTTCATTTCCGACAGATATATGCCGCGATACATACATAGAGTAGTTGCCAATGGCTGAAGTTCAGTGACTGTTGGCGGGCAATCACAAATGGTGACCACGGTCCTCTCTTCAGGGTGCATGACTGCTCCAATCTAGACGATGTGGCATTGCCATTCCTTTTGGGCAAAATGTTTCCAAATAGAGAGTTCGTCTTTTAACAAGACCACTCCCAAGTACACACATCCAAGCTGACTTCCTCATTCCTGCAAGAGCATGGAGTTGCCATGCTGGAATGGCCGCCAGAATTCCCAGTCATGAACATCATTGAGAACATATGAGGAAACATGAAGGCAGCGTTGCGCTCCCGCAGCCTGCATGGCTTGTCTTCGAACAACCTGTCGTCAGGAGTACAAGACTGCTGGAAAAAAGCCAGTGTGAACGTTCACACATGCGACGCCTTGTATGCATCTCGTCCAAATAGGATGAGGGCGGCGATCGAGGCTCATGGTGATGCAACCCACTTCTAAATACTGTAATATAATTATCTAAATACTACAGTTGTGCTAACTGAAAGGCATTTGTAAATGTCTCAACATTTTATTTCAACTTCCAAATAAGCTTGAACAAAACTTTTTTTTTGACCAGATGAGACTAAATTATAGTTATGTCCACTTCTATGAGTTCTTTTCAATAACAGTGCATTGCATCGGTGAATTGCTACAGCATTCACACTTAGTATATTGCGTAATACACCCAGTTATATTTTTATTGTGCTTTTTGCAGTGCCCAACTTTGGGCTGATCGAAACAGTTGTGTGAGCTGTGGCAATATTACTTCAGTTTCACCAAATCACTCAGTTGTGGCAGTGGCAGCGCGGCTTGAAAGTTTTGTTAATGTATGCGATGAAGTTTATTACGTGTATGATCGCTTGCAGAAAAGCCACAGCCACTTCGTTTCTCAAAAAGCGCGCCAACTTCTCAATTTGCATGCGCACATAACAAAAGTGATGTTTGCTTCACCGCAAAGCAGGCGAAATTCGGTTGAGCAACCGCGCTTAAGCAGACGACGCGGCGAAGGCCTCGCCCACAGCTGTCATTGGGCTCACACGCTAGTTTCCGAAGCGCCCCACAGAGGCGCTCCGTGGGTCGGCCGCACAGAGCGGTGTTCAGTGTAGAAGTAAACCGCTCTGTACACTGTGCTCATGCACTGTGCTCTTTAATTACACTAAGCCACTTCAGTACAGGAAACTGGGAAAATAAAATATTTGTTTAAATTATCGGAAGGAGTTCAGGGTTCCTTTAGAAATGCGATTCGAAAAAAAAAAAAAAAGTTGGAATAATCTGTAGTCTAGAGCAATGACATTTTTGCTGTATATATATAATTTTATACTGCCATCAAATATGTAGTTAGTTCTGTAGTAAATTGCACAGTTTTTATTTTGTGTGATGACCATGAGTAAAGTATTCTTCATTTTGGACCAACTTTCTAGTTCTATGGCACTAAACTTTTAGAGTTTTGAGCCATTCATGGCCCATATTGCTCCACATCAATTGTAGAATGCAAATAACTATCAAGTGAGTGTGTATAAGACATTTTTAAGAGCGAAAAAATTGTAATGTGAGAAATTCTTAGTTCTCAATCATACTGATTGTTTACTTTAGGTTCGTAATAATTATGCATAACATATCAAGTTTTATAGAAGATACTTGCACCCTTCACATGTTAAGGAATGTGAGCGAAATTTCATCCCAATCGGGCTATCAGAAGTGCCAAATATGTACATGATGTCTCAACTCAAGAAGTTGTACAAAAATTTGTCTTAAGACAAATGCATTTGAAATGTAATCTAAGTAGAAAAATTTTTTTTAAGATTTCTTCTACCATGAGAGCTTGGCAATCATGGTTATTTTGAGCATGTGGTTTCAGTGAAAACCTCATATGAAATGCAGTGGCAAGCAGCCAGGTGACAACTTCCAGGGAACTCTAGACAATGAAGTATTTTTGTTTTCTAAGTCACCCTCATCTTTTTAAAGGTGATTTTAACCTACTTAGAGTGTAATTAAATCTTCGTTTTTTTTTTGTCATGAAAGTAGAGAAACTAAACTTGTGAGAGCAAGTAAAAACGAAAAATAAGTAATTTTGTAGAAAACAAAACTTTTAATTTTCGACTTGCATCTCCCAACTCTAGCAGTTTTCTGGCAAGGTTTAGGTATTGGTGAATGTATGCTCCCCAGGTGCTCCTGTCAAGCACCTTGTACTAAAGATGCCCAGCAAATAAGCAAAAAGGCTTAAAGCCGAACCAAATCCCAATCGTGCAGTACTGTTCTCGAATGGCATATTAAACGCCACAAACTGTAAGTTGTGGGAAGCATTTCGGTCCAGCAAGTGCATAGGCAGAGGTCGAAAGCTGTGGAAGTCGTGTAGAGCAGACACTCAACGTAAACGTGGCTACACACACGATGTCTGAATGTCATCACAACCAACAATGTGAAACACAGCCGGGCTACAAGCTGCAGGCATGCCACAGAATCAAAGAATCTCGTGGTTCTGTCTGCGTCTTTTGGTTTTCACATTTTTGCTTGTAATGTCAACACCCACTTTTGGTCATGTCAGCATCCATTAGAATCTGTTTGCTGAGAATATATGTATGCGACCGGCTTCTCCTTCTTGAACGGTGAGGAGGAGAGGAGGATGCAAGTAGATTTTGATCTTTACATGCAAGTAGTTTTGCTATTACGGCAACATTTGAAGAATTCTCATGGCTGGGTGTTAAAGGAACTGACAACTTCCCAGAAGATAAAATGAGATGACTGCACGGATGGAAAGAGATGGTCTCTCATAGAGACTCAAAGCAATCCTTTTTTTTTTGGGGGGGGAGAAGTGGAGCTATATTTTTATTTCTCTATTGAAAATAGCGAAAATAACCTGCGGCACCATCTGGTAGCAGAAACTTCAATTATCTGAGCTGTGCTGTAAACAATTTTCCTGTTAGTATTGAAATATTGTTTGCTTCTTTATAGTAAAAGATATTTTATGAAAATGTACCTATAGGCCTGTGTTGGTAGTACGCATTAAAGTGGCGCTGTCTCTTCGCATGATGTGATCATCCCATACTCGTCAGTGCATCTTCAGCACCTTTTGTACGTGCTTATGAAACTGTGCAAGCAGTTTCCAGGTCGCTAAGATTTTGGAGTGATGTGGTGTTTTTACCTACACTTTATCTCGGAAATGACTAGCTTTGACGTTTTCTGTGATTTGACTTCGCTCGTGTTTCCGGGAGTAATTACGACGAGACAAGTCATCTACGACACCGGCGCATCAACCTTGGGTGCAGGCGCACGCAACGCGGTACAAATATAGCGAAGCTGAAGAAAGCCACATTGTGTCATTGTAACGGCTTGTTATTTTCGAAAATAGTCGTAAATCTCAGAATAAATGCGGTTAAGCATAGGTAAACAAATATAGCGAAGCTGAATAAAGCCACATTGTCTCATTGTAACTGCTTGTTATTTTCGAAAATAGTCGTAAAGCTTAGAATAAATGCGGTTAAGCGTAGGTAAAGGAACTCCTGCGAAAGCAGAACAATGACAGCATGCACAAGTCCCTAGAAGGGATACCGGCAGTCGCTATCAATTCTCAGCGTTGCTGGACAAAAAGGCACATCAGTGTTCAGAGCCTGTCACATCGAAAAATACTGATTATAAAATAACTACATGCTTTTGGGAGTAACTACTGCAGCTGCGAACACTGCGAAGGGTAAGCTTTCGGTCACGCCGAAAAATACTGTGTCGAAAAAAAATTGGTTGTCGGTCTCTTCAAGACTCCTGTACAACTGCATAGCTAAATTTTGACCTTTGGGTGGTTTATGGACATTTTTAACCTTTTGAAGTCCATGGTCGGGCACTGCTCAACGCATTCTTTTATGGTTGATTCACAAGCATGTTTTTCTCATTGCATTATGCACCATCTCTAAATGTGCAAGCAAGCTTCTTTAGTTCACGTGTGATTTGTTTAGTTTCAGTCTGAAATAGGTAGAACAAAGGTGTTTAAAGTTACAGACCGCAAGGGGTTATAGATATTGTGGGTTCTGTGCTTCTTTTATATTTATTCTGCACTCTCCTTTCAAGCTTTGCACATTTGCTTTAATTTGCAAAATTTGTGAATCTTTGGCTTTTTTCTTCTAAAGGTCTGTCTTTTTTGCATGCATAAAAGTTGGGCATGTCCTCCTTACATAACCTGTGGAAGGTAACTGTTATGTGCTTGCAAGCATTTTGTTGCAACTTTTACCTATGTAGAACTTGCTATTATTTCTGTACTTGCTGCTCATACTTGTGAGAGCCAGCGAAAGCTGGTATTATGTAGTAAATGAAAAGTGAAGATTGAAACAAATATTGTTTTTTTAAACTTTTCAGATAAATCAATGACATGTTTCTCTTTCAGTGTCCCGGAGTCAGATAACAACTGCTGCCCAGGCCTGCAGCATTCTCTTGCGTATGCTGCTGAAGTGGCTGAAGGCGCACAGGGAAAATGCATTCTTACAGCAAGTAAGTTGCTGCATGTTTCAAAAAACTAGTTTTTATCATACAGATGTAATTCCTCAAAAATACAAATAAGTAATGCTTTCATGAAGTAATCAGGGGGTTGGGAACAGCTTTAACCTTCTGTATAGAACACAGTTTTGTTTTCATCAAACGCTGATGCCCAAAGGGGTTTTTATCAAGAAAAGGACTTGATTCACAGAAGTTTGAACATATGAAATGTCATTTATTGCTCCCTTCATACATCAATGCCATCCACTCAATGTACATACACGCCGATGTTAGAGAACAGGAGGGCAGGCAGTCATTTTGGCGTGCAGGAGAGCTGTCTTCACGACAGGTGAAAGCTCAGAAAGTGAATTTTCAATTCCAAGCCTTGAAGCACAGGGGCCCCTGCAGTGTGCAAGCTGCAAAATTTATAGATGTTGAAGACGAGCTATCAAACTAAAGAAATTTTGCACATTTTGTTCATTCGTGGAAATCTCATTCACGTTAAGAGCGTGACGTACAGTTTAGTACTTTCTTTTTTGTCAGAATGAATAGGTGCACATTAGAATTCGGTACTTGCAGTATTTTAGTTTTTGAGTGATGTTAGTAATCGGGTGTGCATTGGAATTAGGACACGTTAGAATTAGGTGAATATGGTAAGTTTTTGTGTTCTCATATTGGTGCCGCCCTTAGATGATGATCTAGAGGTACCAAATTTAACCAAGTGTAATGCACCTCAAATTCAAGTGCTCGTGAGATACCTGGAAGTAAAAAGAAAAAAGAGAGGAAGTGTTTTCAGCATGACAGAAAGACTTATTTGTTCACAATCACTTCTGTACAACTTTTAGTCACTGTTAGGCCACGCAATCTTATCTTCCATACACTTCATGGCAGTGGAAATTCTACAGTTCTTGAAAGCCTTCTTGATCATGCCTGCTGGAATTCTAAGCCAAGACCCCCCGCAGGGGCGCCTGCGCAAGTAGGCGTTTAGTGTGTAGCGACACCACGGACCCGAGCTAACGGGGGAGTTTTGACTCCCTCCCACGCCTAGCCGTGCGTGGCTTTGCTGTGTCCGGGGAAAAGGGGATCCTGGGGGTTGAGCCAATGCTGGATGATTGGACCTTTAAGGCCCCCCGGCAGAGGCAACACACCCCTTTGGCCCCGGCTTCACGTAGACGGCACCCCTGGGCTGACCCACCCAGGGGAAATCGGCAGTCGCCTTTTCCTATCTCTCTCTGCCTAGATCTTAGCCTTTATCCCTCACTATCTATCTGTCCTGTCTTCTACTCTTTTCTGTTTACTTCCAATTTTCCTGGCGGCAAGGGTTAACCCTGTGCAAATAGCCTACCTTGGTCTAGGCGCATTGGGTTATGGCAGTGTTGTACGGCTGACGTCTGCAAGCTTTCAGCACCTGCAAACTTGCAGCGTCCCCTTGTTGGGCTCCGTGGTGGGTGGCCGCCAACGCTGCTGAACAAAAATAAGACTGGCATGCATGGAGCATTCCCTCTACTGCCTGATCGTACCGGCCTAAAGTGGGTACGCACCGACGACAGCAATTTCTTCAACCAGCCAATAGAAACTTTTCCCCACTTCCACGTCATTCACTGTGAAAAAACCGGAAAGCAATCCAGGACCGTATCTCCTTTCGTAGTTGCCAGGTGTCTTACTGAAACTCTGGGGCTGGATACAAAGTAACCAAAATGGCTAGCGGAGACCTTCTTCTCGAAATTCGGGACAAAGCACAATTTGTAAAGCTAGATAGCCTCTCAACGTTTGGTGATGTACCAATAACCGTAACTCCACACAGATCTATGAACATCACTCGCGGAGTGGTATCTGACGCAGACTTACTTGACCTGACCGAAACTGAACTTTTGGAAGGGTGGAAGAGCCAAAATGTCAATAATATACAGAGAATTATCATCAGAAGAGATAATAAGGAAATACCGACGGAATATTTAATACTCACGTTTGCATCCAGTAAACTACCAGATTCTATTCAAACAGGGTACACGAAGACATCTATCAGGCCATATATACCAAACCCTCGTCGTTGCTTCCAATGCTAGAAATATGGCCATGGCTCTAAAACCTGTCGTGGTCGCCAGACTTGTGCACAATGTGGAGTCCGAGGCCACGTGTCTGAGAACTGCAAACAACCGCCACACTGTGTAAACTGCGAAGGAAACCATGCCGCATATTCACGCTCCTGCACATACTGGAAAAAGAAAAAGAAATAATTACGTTGAAGGTGAAGGAGAACATTACATTTAAGGAAGCACGGTGAAGAGTCGCTCCATTCTATGGACCTACATACGCTGATGCGGCGCATCAGGGGGCACCGCCGCACCAGCCCTCGCCACTCCTTCGGCCCGCGCATACCGAGCCAATGGTTGTGGCACCTGCCCCCAAGGCGGCTGTAGCCCAGGCTACACCGCCTACTCCCAAACAGACACCAGAGACTCCAGAGTCCTCCGGTCTCAAGGCCTCACCTCCCCAGGCGAGGCCCGAAATTCGAACTAACAGCCCGCACGTGCGGGCATCCAGTGCCTCCGAGGAGGCAATGGATACGTCGGTACCCTTGGTGCCGAAAGAGCGGCGTGGCTCCTTGAAGCGCGCCAAGAAAACAAAAATGCAGATAACAAGGCCTGGTGACGGCCCTGTTAAGTGAACTCAAACTCCCTGTCTAAACAGCCACTCGCTTTTCGTACACACAGCACTATTTTACATTCAGCATGAACACTCAAATTATTCAATGGAACGTCAGGGGCCTTCTTAGAAACCTTGACGACATTCAAGAACTCTTACACGAACACTCACCAAAAGTGCTGTGTGTACAAGAAACACACCTTAATTCAAAACACACAAATTTTCTTCGTAAATACGTTATTTTCCGAAAGGACCGTGTTGATGCCATGACATCATCCGGAGGTGTTGCCATCATAGTGAATCAAGGAATTGCATGCACACACTTACAACTCCAAACATCCCTTGAGGCAGTGGCTGTTTGAGCAGTTCTTTTTGGTAAACTGATCACAATCTGCACTATTTACATTCCTCCTAGCTATCAGCTGCAAAAACGTGATTTAAACTCTCTAATTGATGAACTTCCGGAGCCTTATGTTTTCCTTGGAGACTTTAATGCGCATAGCAGGCTATGGGGTGACTCTCGGTATGACGCGCGAGGTCGACTGATCGAACAGTTCCTTCTCTCGTCGAGCGCGTGTCTTCTAAATCGAAAAGAACCAACGTATTATAATCTCGCTAATAACACCTACTCCTCCATAGACCTAAGCATAGTATCTCCATCTCTTGTGCCTCTACTCCAGTGGAAATTCGTCAGTAATCTGTACGGAAGTGACCACTTCCGCGTAGTTTTGAGCACAACTACAGTAACTGAGTGCCCACCACGTGTTCCCAAGTGGCTCATAAATAGAGCCGACTGGGAACAGTTTTATACCATCGCTCGTCTAGGTTGGAATGACATATGTACTTTGAACATTGATGATGCTGTGAACTACTTCACAGCGTTTTTGATTGATGCTGCAACAAAATGCATCCCACAAACAAATGAACACTCTGGAAAACGGCGTGTGCCATGGTGGAACTCTGAATGCCGAAACGCGCGCAAACAGCAAAACAGAGCTTGGAGGCTGCTTCGGAACTCACCGACAACCAAAAATCTTGACACCTTCAAGAAAATAGTCTCAAGGCAAGAGAACGCGTCGGCAGGCCAGAAGAGAAAGGTGGCAGAAGTTTTTGTCAGGAATCAATTTATACACACAGGAGGCTAAAGTCTGGAACATGGTCGGTAGGATAGCAGGAAAACAAGTACACACACTTCCACTCGTAAACACTCAGGGTGATACCTTGGAAGATCAGGCAAACTTCCTCGGTGCACACTTTGAACAGGTGTCCAGTTCATCCCACTATACTGACACTTTCCAAAAATACAGAACAAGAATAGAAAAGCAGAAACTCGAACACAAATGCACTAGATACGAGGCATATAACCAAGCTTTCAGTCTAGCTGAGCTGCGAACGTCTCTAAACTCCTGCAGTACTTCTGCACCAGGTTCTGACCGTGTGGTGTATGAAATGTTAAAAAAACCTACCAATCGAAACACGAAAAACCTTACTTTGTTTGTACAATGCTATCTGGTTTTCTGGCAATATCCCTACCTCCTGGAAAGAGGCTATTATTATTCCCATTTTGAAAGAGGGCAAGGACCCTTCTTTACCTTCGAGTTATAGGCCTATTGCACTTACAAGCTGCTTGTGCAAAGTATTCGAAAAAATGATAAACTGCCGACTTGTACATATCCTTGAAACAAACAATTTGCTCGACCCATTTCAGTGCGGGTTTCGAGAAAGTAGATCCACCACAGACCACCTTGTTCGTATCGAGGCACAGATCAGGGACGCCTTCGTCCATAAACAACATTTTCTCTCTGTATTCCTCGATATCGAAAAGGCTTTATGATACAACATGGCGTTTTGGAATTCTAAGAGACCTGTCCCACCTTGGCGTGCGCGGAAGAATGTTTCACATAATCGAAAATTACCTGTCAAACCGGACATTCTGTGTCCGAGTGGGCACGGTTCTTTCCCATTTATTTGTCCAGGAAACAGGCGTGCCACAAGGTGGTGTACTTAGCTGCACACTTTTTCTCATCAAAATGAATTCCTTGCGCTTGTCCATTCCTCGCAATATGTTTTATTGTATATATGTCGATGACGTCCAGCTTGGCTTTAGATCTTGCAATCTGGCAATGTGTGAGCGGCAGGTTCAGTTAGGTTTAAACAAGGTCTCGAAATGGGCAGAGGAAAATGGATTCCGACTGAACCCACAAAAAAGCACGTGTGTCCTGTTCTCCTGAAAGAGAGGCATGCACTCAGAACCCGACATTGAACTGCACGGTCAACGTCTGTCTGTTAATACGGAGCATAAATTCTTGGGATTAATTTTGGACAACAAGTTAACCTTTGTACCACACATCAAGTATCTAAAAACAAAA